TGCAGACCTCACCTCTGCCAGTTCCTCTGCCCCCAGTGTGTTTCTGTTTATTTATTTGAAAAGCAGCGTCTCAGAGAGAGAGGGAGGGGTATGGGTGTAAGGGGAGAGCCATAGGAAGGCCAGGCCAAAGCCAGGAGCCAGGAGCTCCAGCCAGCCAGGGTCCCGAGTACTTGAACCACCATCTGCTGCCTTCCCACGGTGTATATTAGCAGGAAGCTGGATCAGAAATGGAGCAACAGGGACTCCAACCCACGGTCAGATACGGTGTGCTGGCATTGCAAGCTGTGGCTTGCCCCCCGCCCCCCGCAGCACCTGCTGCCCCCAGCATTCTTGTGGAGGCCTGTGATGGGATCTTTGAGTCATTTCCTGTAGGAAACTTTATCTCACACAGAAAAGACTGGAAGTCACCAGCCACACAGTTCCGTGATTCCACTGCTGTGCTGGTGTAGCGGTGTCACGGCTTTCGCTTTCACTTGTCCCTGATAGATTGCACGTCCTGGGTGCATGTTGGAAAGCTGATTGTTGTCATGCCCCAGGCACAAGTAAAGGCTGGCATAGATCCCTGCTCATGGAGTGGCCATGGATGCAGGAAGAGAGTTAGTAAACAGCTTGGAGACCAGGCATCCAGGTGCATGGCGGGCGACGTGCGGGAGCTGTGAGCACGCATGTCAGGTAAACCCCAGTGTTAAAGTCATGAATATTTATCTCTGTCACTAAGTATTTTTAAAGCAAACTTCAGCAGCTGAGTGGTTTTCTGTTGTGTAAGTTTGTGCAAAAACACGATGAAGAAGGATTAGTTCATTTGGATGCAAAGCATTTTTGGAAATGCATGTGCAGTTTTTTTGTAATAAGTGTTTTCCACATAGTAAGGAAAAAATTGCACCAGAATGAACTCACGTTTTTTAATTCATTTATTTGGAAGGCATAGATCTCCACCTGCTGGTTCACCCCTCAAGTAGGGTGGGCCAGGCCGAAGCCAGGAGCCGAGAACTCCCTCCAGATGTCCTAGGTGGCTGCCAGGGCCCCGGGCACTCGGGCTGTCGTCTTTCACTGCTTTCCCAGGTGCATCAGCAGGAAGGTGGATCAGAAGTGAACCGCACTCCAGCAGGGGACGTCAGCGTCCTAGTCAGTCGCTTTGCCTGCTGTACCACAAGGCTAGCTCAGGCACATTCCTTTCGTTCTGTTGTACTCTGCATGTCTGGAGGGTGTTTCGTACAATCTAATCCAAAGGAGCCTGTCCCGAGGCCCAGAGAGTACTCTTCACGAGGTCTGTGTCTGCGGCTGCCCACACTGGCTCCTGCTCCCGGGCTGCGTGCTACCTGCGGGTGCACAGCTGCCCGTGGGCCCGCTGTCTCTTCCCTGCTGTGGGGCTGTTGTGTGACAGAGCAGGAAAAGTGGGCCATGGTGGTAGCCACTGGGTGATCTCCTTTCTCACCACGGATAAATGTGCAGCGTTTCAGTGGGGAAGTAAACAGCTTTCCTGATTCCTGGTCAGCAGGTTTCCCATTACTGAAATGCTTGGTAAAAATGCTCTTTTTCTCTCTGGGCAAAGAAACAAACACCAAATGCCAGTGCAGAGTGGAGCAGTATGTAACCCCCACTTGTGTCCAGAATGACATGGCCATGCACTAGACGTGAGCAGCGAGGTAGAGGAGCCCGTGTGCCTGCTGTCCAGGGAGTAACTTGGTATAGGGGCCGTTCACTTAACAAGGGAGAATCGGCTTCTGTCTCCAAGTGGGGAGCCACCGCAGGGGCAGCTGTGGTGAGAGTGGCCGGGCTTGCCGTGTCTCAGGTGGATTGGGAGAGTGGACTCCACCCACTTTGCTGCCTGTGCACTCCCTTCTAGAAGCTGGTGGAAGCTGCAGGCTGTGCCAGGAGCGCACGGCACTGGTGCTGCAGGAAGGGCATGGCCTTGTGCTTGGGTTTGTGTGGTGCTGACCTGAAGCCCAGGGAGACCCTGGTCCCCATCCTGTGGTTTCCATAAGCAGTGCACATGAACTGAAGCCCAGGGAGACCCCTTGTCCCATCCCACAGTTTCTGTAAGCAGTGCACGTGAACTGAAGCCCAGGGAGACCGTTGCCCCTATCCTACGGTTTCCTAAGCAGTGCACGTGAACTGAAGCCCAGGGAGACCCTCGTCCCTATCCCAGGGTTTCCATAAGCAGTGCACGTGAACTGAAGCCCAGGGAGACCGTTGCCCCTATCCTACGGTTTCCTAAGCAGTGTGCCTGTTGTGTGCAACGTCGGTTTCCTGCAGAACAGGTTCAGAGCAGGCAGTCAGGACGCGCTTCCGCCTTGATTGCCGCCCTTCCCCCTGTGTTCAGGAAGCTCCTTGTCTTGATTTTTCAAGGAGGCAAAAATGAGAATTTTAAGCCTTTGTAAAACATTATGGAAATGTCAAAATCAGTATACATTAACACGCCAAACTGAAGATGGAAATCAGGGAGTGGCAATTAGGAGCGCTCCAGGTCTGAGGCGCATACATACATAGCCTGCGTGATCATCCCGCACGGAGCCACAGAAGGGCGGCCTGTGGCTCCGTGTCTTTCCAGCAGCAGCTGGTGATTGAGAAAGAGAATTTCACTCTGTAATTGTTTCTGAATGTATTCTTTTAAAGGTTCATTTTATTTTATTTTAAAGGCAGAGTTATGGAAGAGAGGGAGGGTGTGAAGAGACAGAGAGGGGTCTTCCATCCATTGGTTCATTCCCCAAATGACTGCAGCTGCCTTGGCTGGCCAGACTGAAGCCAGGAGCCAGGAGCTTCTTCCAGGTCTCCCACATAGGTGCAGGGGCCAAGCACTTGTACCTTCTTCTGGTGCTTTTCCAGACACATTAACTGGGAACTGGATCAGAAGGGGAGCAACTGGGACCTGAACTGGTGGTGTCCATATGGGATTAACCCACTGCACCTGCCCCAAGTACTTCCAAGGGTGAACTAGAAACATGCTTTGGTGTGTTTTAATACTATTGCGAATGTCAAACACTACAATTGTTCCTTTGTGGTTTTTTTGTTTGAAAATTACACCGAGAAGTAGAGACAGAAAAGTCTTCCATTTACTGTTCACTCCCCAAATGGCTACAACTACTGGAACTCAGCTGATCCAGAGCCAGGAGCTTCCTCCTGGGTCTCCCACATGGGTGCAGGGGCCCAAGGACTTGTGCCACCTTCACTGCTTTCCCAGGCACATTAGCAGGAGGCTGGATCGGAAGTGGAGCAGCTGGAATTGGAACCAGTGTCATGGCTGTAACCCAGTGCACCACAGTGCTGGCCCCTACTTGGTGTTTTGACAACTAACAAGTAGCACTGTTCACAAAAAGTCTGTATTTAGTGCCCTTTGTTTCAGACTGTGGAAAACAATACAGAGTGAGCAGAGTGCTCCTGGTCACGGAGCAGAACATGTCTGTAAGGATGCTTTTGCAGAGGTGTATGTGGTCTTCCTTTCCGGTTTAGAGCTACTGCTTTTCGGGAGTGTTTTGTGTACAAGGGGAAGAATCTGTGGCAGAGAAGCCTGACTACTTGGACCTCAAGGCCGAGATGAGTTTGGTCTACGTGATCGACAAACTCGCTGCCCACCCTTCTCACCTGGTTCTGGTTTGCGCTGCTCACTGTGCACTTCCTGTCTTCGGTGTGTTCGTGCTTTTCTTTGACGGGGTTTGCCGTGTCCCTCGTAACTGGAAGAATGCCGTGCTGTGCACTGCCGACGTTGAGCATCTGTAGGTCAGAGCCCTTACCCTGCAAGTCCTGTTAGTGTGGATTTGGAGATGGAAATACCGCGAAGCCCTTGGATGCCTAGGGTGATCCAAAGAAAGTCAGTTATGGATGCATGCTGTGCTTCCCCGGGTATTGCTGTTGTATTGTGTTTTCAGATCAGTTATTTAAGGGGCAGAGGCTGAGGGATGAACATAGAGAAATCCCCTGTCTGGTGGTTCACTCCCTCAGTGCCTGTAGCGCTGAGGTCCGGAAGCCAGGGCTGGACCAGGATGGAGCCAGGAGCGCAAGATTAGCATGTGAGACAGGGACCCAAGTGCTTGAGCCATCAGCTGCTGCCTCCCAGGGTGCACACAAGCAGGAAGCTGGGCTAGGAAGTGGAGAAAGGACTTGAACCCAGGCGCTCTGATATGTGCTGGAGGCAGCCCACCCCACCCCACCCCAAAATTACTCAGTGTAGCACCCGGCATTGCATCTGAAATCCCCAGAGTTCTCTTTAATGATTCTTTTCACCACCACTACTCCTTTTGACTTTTTAAAAAAGATTTATTTATTTACTTGAAAGGCAGGGTTCAGTGAGAGAGAGATCTTCATCCACTGGTTCACTCCCCAGGTGATGTAACAGTCAGGGCTGAGCCAGTCCGAAGCCAGGAGCCAGGAACTCCTTCTGGATCTCCCACATTGGGGCAGGGGCCCAAGCACTTGGGCCACCCTCCACTGTTTGCCCAGGCATATCACCAGGGAGCTGGATCAGAAGTGGAGCAGCCAGGTCCCGAATGGGCACCTTTAGGGGATGCCAGTGTCACAGTGGGGTGGCTTAACCCATGGGGATGCCACACCACCCCGTTTGCTGACTTTTCGTCGGGCTTGGTTATCTGGTGTGAATGAGATGGCTGACATCACTGGAAATTCCCAGTGGAAACGCAGGGCCGTGTGAGTGATGCTGTGTAACTTGGCAGCTGCTGTTACAGTCTCTCCTGTGGCTCAGACACGTGAGCAGCACATCCACAGGAACTTCTACTCCCCAGGCATCGCTCGTGTTTCTACTACACCTTCCCCTGTATCAGTGCTGGTTGGTGTGTTTCAGCCGAACGTCACAGCAGGAGGAAGTGGGAGCAGCTGTCCCCAGGGATGCCTGCGGGAACACAGATGCGCATGACGGTCTTTGCCATGTGGCTTGGGGGAAATGTTTTTCCTGGTGCTGTCAGAACTGCTCGCTTGCGCTCTTGAGAAGCAGTGCGCGGAGGAGCCCTGGAGGATCAAGTGCTGTGCACTCTTTTGTTCCCGGTCAGAAAGCGGAAGACGAGGATATCGTGCTCACTCCCGACGGCACCAGGGAGTTCCTGACGTTTGAAGTTCCCCTCAACGACTCGGGGTCTGCGGGGCTGGGTGTCAGCGTCAAGGGCAACCGCTCCAAAGAGAACCACGCGGACCTGGGCATCTTCGTCAAGTCCATCATCAATGGGGGTGCCGCCTCTAAAGTAAGCAGACGCCGCATCCAGCAACAGCGCCCCTGGCCGACACCTGCCCTTCCCACCCTTCGCCGGGCCCTGGCTGAACCAGGCTGAAGCCCAGAGCCAGGAACTCCCGTGTGGGTAGCAGGGACCCCAGCACTTGGGACATCTTCCACTGCTCTTCCCAAGTCATTAGCAGGGAGCTGGATGGGAAGTGGAGCAGCTGGGACAGGAACTGACACCCATATGGGATGCCGGCAGCATCGCAGGCCTCACCTTTACCTGCTGTGCCACAAAGCCAGTCCCTCTCTACCCCATCTGATCATGCGGGAGACGCCCAGGGCTGTGGTTTGCGGCAGGGCCCCACCCCATTCTTCCTCCTCCTCTCACAGAGCCCATAGCCCCCTGTGGTGCTAGGGACTGGGGTGGCCATGGCTACAGAGACTTGGCCTGGGTCCCTTCTGAGAGCTGGCCCCCAAGGAGGACTCCTCTCCCAGGCCCCATCCTGGGAGCCTCCCACTCTGGCTGTTGGCTCAGGGACCTGGTCTCTGTGTTTGCACCAGGGCAGTGGGCTTCTGTCTGGGGCTGTGGATGTCTTCTGTTGGAGTCTCTTTGTGTCCTCTGCATTGGTATGCACTCTGGGGTAGCAGATTATGATAATGACTTAGTTTACAAGTGTGTGAATGATTAAAGTAGACACTGGCCACAGTGGCTGTGAGGACCCCATTGTGCTCCTGCTCCGCTGTGAGGGATCCCTTAGGATGTGGGCCCTCCCTGCTGCTGCCCTGTGTTTGTTTTCTAACCAAAGGAAAGAACAGCCCTGACTTCCTGTGTTTTCTTCCCAGGATGGGCGACTCCGTGTGAATGACCAGCTGATCGCCGTGAACGGGGAGTCCCTGTTGGGCAGGACGAACCAGGACGCCATGGATGCCCTCAGGAGATCCATGTCCACCGAGGGCAACAAGCGGGGCATGATTCAGCTCATCGTGGCGCGGCGTGTCAGCAAGGGCGGGCAGGTGAGCAAGGCGCCCTCCAGGGCAGGGCGTCAGGAGTGAGCGGGAGGCACCACACGTCCCCTCTGAGAGGCGTCATCCTCTCTTCATCCACCTAAGTAAAGACTGGCTTGAAAGAGTAGCAGAGAAGGCAAAAGACACACATGGAGAGGGAGAGAGAGCTTCCATGCACTGGCTGTCACTCCCCAAAGGCCCTCCGCAGCCAAGACTGGAGCAAGGTGAAGCCAGCAGCCTGGAAGTCCATCCAGGTGAACAAACCTGGTGGCAGAGCCTCAACCACCTGAGTGTTACCGCGGTCTCCCAGGGTCGTGTTAGCAGAATCGGAAGTGGTGGGGTTCTGGCTCCCAGGTTCCTCTGTAGGGCATGCGGCATCCCGGGCAGCTGCTTAAGCGGCTGTGCTTCACAGCGTCAGCCTGCACCCCCGCCTTCCTTTCAAGGTGAAAAACAAGCTGGGGTTGGATTTGGTAACTGCCCTTGGAACCTGAGGACTAACTTTCCCCCATCTGTGAGAAGGAACCCAGCAGCTGTAGGATGACCTCATCAAAACACAAAGTTAGCTTGATTTTGTTTTATTGAGGCTTAGCATCCTACATTTTAAAATCAAATAAGATCGGCCCTGCGAAGTTTCCTTTCACAGAAAGTGTCGTTAGGGGAAGTGGAAGTACCTGCAGTGAACTGGGGACCAGCATTCAGCCTCTGCCCTCTTCTCACCATTCCTGGCCGTGCCCCAGGCAGCAGCCTAGCATGGCTTGGCTGACGGTGCTTTAGTCAAAGCCGCGTGGTACTCCCTGTTGCCCAGTAACATGCTGGGAGCTGGCACCCCCAGATCAACTCGGGGCGCCTCTGCCCTTGAGCTTCAGTGTGGGGACAGCTGCCGTCGACAGTGGTGGACTTCAATATTCGTTATTCCTTGCAGTGTCTTGCATACGGCACTTGCTATTGCTGTTTCTTAGGACGTGGTAAGCTTATTATGCAGTTCTGTCAAAAGCCTTACCTGAATGCTGTGCGTGGTGCCGTGCCGAGAAGCCTCTTGTCCTGATAAGGAATCGGAGGAAGACAGAAGAGCCCGTTTCGGCTTCCTCGGGGCCTGAGAGATGCTTCTGCTGCCGTTGTTCTTGCGTTGTATTACTGGGACATCTTCTCCCGGGGTCCGGAGAGTGCGCGTGTCGGTGACGTTGCAGGGAAGTGTTGATATCGGCATGGGCCTCCTGCTGTAGGAAGGGACCCCACGCCAGGATCACACGCTGGGCTCTGCCTCCTGCCGGCATTAGCTGGCCACACAGTTCCATCTGTCTGTTTCAAACACCTTATTATAGTCTCTCATCTTCATTTTATCTTAGATCTTTATTTTTTTTTTCATCTTATTTAAAAGGCAGATGTGGGGGGGGGGCAGGGAGAGAGAGAGAAGGAGCGAGTTGAGAAGACTTATTTTTCATCTGCTCCTTCACTCCCCAAATGCCCCTCATCGGCCAGGGTTGGGCCAGGCTGAAATTAGGACCTGATAATTCCATCTGGGTCTCCCATGTGAGTGGTGGGGGCCTAAGTAGTTGAGGCGTCACCTGCTCCCTCCCAGTGTGTGCGTTAGCAGGAAGGTGGAGCAGAAGCAGAGTGGGGATTTGAATCCAGGCCCCCTGATAGGGGATGCCGCTGACTCAGGTAATGGTTTGTCCTCTGGACCTGCGCCCTGCTCATGTGTAAATCAAGGGCTTGGCATGCTTCACTTAACTCAAGAAGAAGAGGTTTACCAAGATCTTGGGATCGGCTGTCCTTTGCCACGTTTTTCCTTGCCTTCGTGTTTCCTTTAAAGTTACTGGCCAGCTCCCTCACCAGCTGCTGTTTGGAAGACCACGGTGCACTCCTACTCGCCTGGTGGGGACCTGCTCTGGGGGCTGCTGCTCGCCCACGTTCCTTGCCGCTCATGCCTCCGGGTGTGCGTGTTTTTTGCCTGTTCTGCCCTTTTCGGTGAATCTCATGGCTCTGCCTGGGCTGCTGCTTTCTCGGCTGCACCTGTTCCCTGGCTGAGCTTCGTCCGTGGCCATCCATCACCACTGGTTCCGGGGTCTTCACAGATTTCATGGAGAGTGCAAATTATGAGAAAAGTATGTGTGGATTTCAAAGTATGTATAGCACCAAGATAAAATGATCCCTAATCCATGTTTCCACAAGAGTTTGCAAGTTTCTGCCTCTGTATCCACGGGTTCTACATCTGCTGCATCAACCATACACAGAGGGAACATAACAGCTGTGCACACCATTTTTCTTGCCATGCCCTGAGCAATGCTGAACCTCAGCTGTTTACATAGCATTTACACGGAATAGGTGTGTGAGTAATGGAGAGGTGAGCACACGTGCTGGCTGCGTGCTACGACCCTGCCCCTTTGTACCTGGGTTTTGTGTCCTTGGGGTTGCTGGAGCCAGGCCCCTGTGCCTCTGCCCTGGGCCCTCGGTGAGTCCTCGCCTCAGCCCCTGGCACTGTACCATGGAGCTCTAGCTAAGACTGGTGGAGCCTCCAGCTCTCCTCTTCCTCAGGGGTGTACCTCACTCCACACAGCCTCCCACTGGTTTCTCTCTTGGAACAGAAGTTCTGAGACGGCCAAAGCCCTGGCTGTGCTTGCCTGTCTGTCCCTTGGATCCAGCATCCACGTGGATGGAGTGCTGAGGGCCACAGCCCTGCAGAGCCTGGCATTCAGCTAGGAAACAAGGACCTAGTGCTCCTGTTAGAAGGGGAAGCTCTGAAACAGCCCTCAGGTAAGGTGCAGTCGGGCAGTTTCCAGGTTTCGTTGGCTGCTTTTGGGTGGAGCTGGTGCTCTGCTTAGCTGTGTTTGAAAACAGTTCACAGCAGTCCTTGTTTCTCTCCTTGACTGATTGATTGACGGTTAGAGAACAAGACAAAGATCTGCTGGTTCGCCCGCCAAACGCCTCCAACAGCCAGAGCTGGCCTGGTGCATCCAGGAGCCTGGAAGTCCAAATGGGTTCCCACATGGGTGGCGGGACCAAGTACTAGAGCCCTCACCTACTGCCTCCCAGGGCGTGCATCAGCAGGACACTGGATCAGAAGCCGAGCTGGGGATCCACGTTGGGCATTCTGATGTGAGACCTGGTGGTTGCGCAGGAGTTGGAACTCTGGGCTAACTCCTCCCCTTCTGTACTTTTCTGGAGAGAAAGGTCCTCCCCTTGTTGACTGACCACTGCTTCAGCTTTGGAAAAGCAAGAAGAGAAAAACTGGTCTCACCTTCCCAGCAGGTAGCTCTGTGGCTGAGAGTCCTCACCTGCTTTCTTGGTATCCACGGTGGGCTGTGCAGCCTCCTAGTTAGTCATGTGCAGGGTTCATGTTTCCTAGGCAGGGCTGTGGTGTAGCATAGCTCCCAGTCCTTGCCTTCCCCTCCTTTGCAAGAGGCTTTGTGTGAAGCCTGTCTCAGCACCACAGCAGAGAGTCCCCCAGGTGAGCTTTTGTCTCTGGCCCCACTTAGAGGGATTTAGTCATCAAGGATGATTTGAAGTCCCTTCTTTGTCTGGTTTAATCCTCTTACAGTGTGAAAGCTGCCTTAGAATAGGAAGGGGCCTCAGGTGCCCCTAAGGGCACTCCTCACTTTGTAATGCAGGCAGTTCAAGTCATTTGCTTAATGGCTGCAGGGCCTGGTGCCCAGGCAGTCACACAGCAAGACATCCTGGCCCCTGGCACACATGAGTGGGTCTACTTGGATGTGAGGTGTTGTGGACGCTGCACGCACACGCACACACACACAGATGCACGCGCACAGGCTTTCAGAGGGGGTGGGATCTGCTGCACTTGGGCCCTGGAACCCCACCGCCCGTCTTTTCATCTTCCCTCCCTGTGCACCTGTGCTTTGGACACCTGTGCTCCCTGCAGTGCATCCTTGAGGTCTTGGTGCAGTGGCTCCGTCTCAACAGGAAGTGGTGCCCTCTGCCATGAAAGCCACGTCCAGGGGACCCAGGTGTCATTTAGGAAGCACCTCTGTCATTGTTGTGTCTCCATGAGTTTCACAACCTGGTTATTCAGCCTGTGCCGGCATCAGTGATAGAATGGGATATGCTCTCCAGTGTGAAATGTCCAGTAGGATCAGCTCAGTCAGTGCTAGCCAGACTGTGGTCCTGGGTGCCCAGGGTGGAAGGTCACCACAAAGCACACCGAACAGCAGACAGGCTGCCTCCCGGTGCAGGAGAGAGTAGCAGCGCGTGCTGGGGAACAGGGCGTCATAGCTTTGCTGGGGTAAGGACGTGGGAGCAGCAAGTCCTGTTAGGGAGGGGGTGGAGCTGGCGCTTGTGATTGGGCTGTTTGGTCACCTGACTTGCAGTAAACCCGGCTGGGCTTAGAATCCAACTTTCTGTACAAAATGGCGATAGGGCCAGAGCCTAAGATGGCGCCACAGGTAAGGCCGTACCACTTTACCAACACTGGGTGTTGAGGCCCAGCCTAGCCCGGCCCACTCCTCAGTGGCTGTAATGGAGGCTCTTGAGGTATTTTCTTTTTGGTCTTTTTTTAATTGACAAACAGTAAAATTCCTTCATTTCAAAAGACAGTTCCGTGTGTTCTGACAGAACCAAGGGGCTGTCTCGCCACCACTACCACAAACAAGGTACAGAACGGTTCATCAACACCCCCCCCCCCCATCTCTCCTTTCCTCCATCCTTTGGACTGGGTACCCCTGTTGCAGAATGGCACATAAATGACATCCCCAGGTAGATAACCTTGGTCATGGAACCTGTTGAATCTGACTTCCTCACCTGGTGTGGTGAGTTTGAGATGAGCTGCATGGCATCCGTAGCCTGTCCTTTTTGTCGGTGAATAATGCACCCTGTGTGGGTGTGCCACCATTTATTTGCTCCTCGGCTGAGGGACCTGTGGATTATTTGCAGCTTTGGGTGATTAGGCATAAAGCTGCTAAAACAGTCACAAGTAGGTTTTTATGTTAAACACAGGTTTTTCTTTCATTCAGTCAAATGCCTGTGAATGAGAGGTTGGATTGAAACGTCAGTGTATGGTTAACTTTATATGTAACTGCCAAACCGTTTTCCAAAGTATTATTTTGCATTCTCGCCAGGCACACAAAAAATGTTCCAGTTGCTTCACACCTTCCTGTGCCTGTGGGGTTGCCAGTCTTTGTTTTTTGTCTTTCTCATCTGTTAGTGGTATCACGTTGCAGTTTTAATTTGCACATCCCTGATGGATGACAGTGAGCAGAACTCATGGTTTTGTTTGCCATCTTCTTTGGTTAACTGTCCAAACCTCTTGCCCAGGCCAGGCGTATGGCCTGGTGGTTATGGGGACGCTTTCTTGATGTGCAGCACCATTCGGCTCACTGTACAGCCCAGTGAGAGTCTGTTCAAGCCCTCAAAAATTGTATGAGCTTTTTTAAAATTATTACTTTTAAAAAAGATTTTAGCTCTTCCTAAGAATGTGCCAAGTATATAATGAAAAGCTTACTCATTGGTTAATATCCAGTTTTTGTTATTAAAGAGCATTTGTTATTTTCTGATCATGAAAGCAATATTTGGTCATTTGAATATCGTCTCTAAAAGGGTTCTGTATTTTATATTGTTTTCAGATGTTGAGGGTATTTCCTTTTTATTATACCTTTGTAAGTAAGTAGATACTGATTTATGGGAATCTTTGTTGTTCACTTACTGTTTTTGGGGACAATGAGCAGAGTGGAATACATGCTTGGATACAGAATCAGGAGCAGTAGTCACCTTTTACATCTGTCAGTGGCTTTAGCCAAAGGCTGCACCACCTGCACTGGTCTCTCTGCTGCTTCTGTTCTGTGATCCTTGGAAGGGGCCAACAGCCACTGGCTACCAGAACAGAATTAAGTGGGCCTGTGGAAAATTTTCCCAATTTCAACAACAACTGACAGCAACGTGAAAATAGCCTTTGTTTACTCTAGTTCCTTCTTCCAGCTAAGCTGAATTTTGTTCAGGTTTTCATGGTAGGAGCCTGCCAGCGGGGCTCCTGGCTGTGCCCTTCCCTCAGTGTGGCTGGGGCGCTGGCCCACACAGCTTTCTCTTTCTCACTGGTTCTCCCCCCAAAAAATTAATCATCAAAAGATTTAAAACAAAGCCTTGTTCCCCAAACATTTTTTTTACAAGAAATGAAAAGGCATTGTATCTGCTGTTAAGTATTTCTGCAGTTGGCTGTTGATGTCTTCATTTACATCTGCCTTTTCAGATGCAGATGAACCGTGGGTCTGGAGATGGGGGAGGCATAAGCTGTTCCCAGGCAAACCTTGGCTGGCCAGGTTCTTTCTGAAGGGGGCTCATTGTTTCTCCGCCAAAAGCCCTGCCTGCGCTATTTTCTTAAATGGAATTTTTATTTGATGTTGTAAAATTTTAGAACAGCCTGTTGGGATACTTAGGGTTTTCTCATGAAGGGAATTTATAAAGGTTTTATCATTTGGAAAGCTGCAGAATTATATAGGTCAATGAAATGTATGTTAAGGCAAACTTGTGGATAAATTGCCTTCAGATAAAATAAATTATTGTATAAGCAGCAGGAGTTGTTTATAGAGAGTTCTGTAGCAAGTCTCATAATGCATGTCCTCATTTAAAAAGCACAGTTGTCCCTAAACGTAGGGAGTCTTAGTATTTTGAGCTTCATTTTTGCCTCCCAGAGTATCCTCGAATTTAGACCCTGAATTCTTCTAAAAATGTCTTTATGTCAGAGACCTTGAATATTTAATTTCCTTTTCCATAAAGCTGTCAGTTGCCATCTGCAATTAAAAAAAAAAAAGTAGTACAATAAATCCTCATTTCGCAGCGCGAGCCTTATCTGGTCTAGTGCAGGGCGCAGGCGCGGCCGGCCCTCCCGCAGCAGGACGCGCCTGCAGTGGTAATTGTGCTGACCTTCCATGCTTTCTGGCCTCCTGGTGCTTATCAAACTGGGAGCCATAAGTCTGCCTTCAGAGCTTCATTAAATTGCTCGTTTGTATGAAGCAGACGAACGCCTCCAACAGAAATCACCACTTCCTCAGGCGCAGGGACCGCAGTGGTCCGAGCTCTTGTCTGCTCCTGCCCTCTGGGGCACGGCTGCCACCGCAGCATCCCAGAGGGAGCCGAGCCTGCCGGGTTCTGCCCAGAGCCCACGCGGTGAGGCTAGTGGCTCAGTATACCTTGTCTCCCTGGAGCAGACTTGTGTCCGGGCCTCCACAGCATAAACGTGTGACTCGGGGGGGAGAAGATGCTGTGCACGCGTGGCTGCTGTCATGAAGGCTGTGTGGTCACTTGCTCCTTGGTCAGAGAAAGGCCCCTGGGTTCCTGGTTAACATGGTGCATTGTGTCCGTGTGTGAAGTACACCTGCTGTGTGCTGTGTGGGGACACGTGGTCCCTGCTTCTGTATTGCCATGCTGTGGGCCTGTGTGCTATGTCCTGTGCTATCCTGTTTCTGTGCTGTCCTGTGTCTGTCCTGTGTGGGGATACGTGGTCCCTGTTTCTGTATTGCCGTGCATGCTGTGGACGTGTGTGCTAGGTCACGTGCTGTCCTGTGTCTGTCCTGTGTGGGGACACGTGGTCCCTGCTTCTGTACCGTGCACACTGTGGACATGTGTACCAGGTCATGTGCTTTCACATGCCTGTGCTGTGTGGGGACATGTAGCCCTGCTTCTGTACTGTGCACACTGTGGATGTGTGTACTAGGTCACGTGCTTTCGCATGTCTGTGCTGTGTGGGGACACATGTCTCTGCTTCTGTACCTGTGCACACTGTGGACATGTGTACTAGGTCACGTGCTGTCCCGTGTCTGTGCTGTGTGGGGACACATGGCTCTGCTTCTGTACCGTGCACACTGTGGATGTGTGTACTAGGTCACGTGCTGTCCCGTGTCTGTGCTGTTTGGGACACATGGCTCTGCTTCTGTACCGTGCACACTGTGGACGTGTGTACTAGGTCACGTGCTGTCCTGTGTCTGTGCTGTGTGGGGACACATGGTCCCTGCTTCTGTACCTGTGCACACTGTGGACCTGTGTACTTGGTTATGCACTGTTCTGTATGAAAAGTTGAGTGACAGGATACCATGATTCTAGTTAATTTCCCGAAGAAGAGATTTAGGTCCCGTGTATTGCTGATGACACCAAGCTGACCAGTGTGGGTTGTGGTAATAATTGCACTGTCACGTATATGAGTGTTTGCATATTTACCTGAAGGTCTACAAGCAAACTGCTGAGCCGCCCTTGGGCTTGCTTCCCATGGAGCGTGCCTTTCCCAGAGCAGTATCTAGTGTCAGATTCTGAAGGGAACTGGGACTGGAGTGGGCGGCCACAGATACCAACGGTGGGAATGACACAGTAGCAGCCAGATAGGGCTCTTTGAGAAGGTCTTTACTGTGCGCGTTTTCCCCGTTTGGGGGCGCCGTGTGGAGGGCGCAGAGCGCCGGTGTTCAGCAGCACTGCCATCACGCCTCATCTTGGTACCGGTGAAGGTCCTGGTTCCCAGTTGGACTCAGCCCATTGTCCCCATCCCCCCATGGCATGAATGGCTGCCAGTGCTGATTTCCTCTCGCCTTCCTCCCTCCCCTCCCCCTCCTGTGCAGCTGAAGTCACCTGGGAGCCCTGCTGGACCGGAGCTGCCCATCGAAACAGTGTTGGAAGACAGCGAGCGGCGGATTTCGCACTCGCTCTACAGTGGCATCGAGGAGCTGGAGGAGTCGCCCGCGAGGAGCGCTGCTCTCGGTCGGATCGTGGGTGAGTCAGGGTAACTGCACGTGTGCCACGCTTTCCTGTGGCTCGCGGAGAGACCGTGAGTGCGGAGTCCCCTGGGAAACGACCCGCAGAGTCCTCCGGATCTTTCGGGAAGCGCGGAGATGAGGAGCGCCCCGGTGCGCTGGGTGTGGAGCGGGTTTCAGACCCTGTTCCTGTGCGGAGAGCAGAAGGGAGAGGGGGTCCTCTGCAGATGCTCCCCAGCCGTGGAGATCGAGATCGTCTTGGCTGGTTTGGGTCAGAGGTGCAGCTGTTGTATGCGGTGGTTTATTGATAAGGAGGAGCATTCCGAGTAGCAGTCTGGGAGAAGCACAGGATGTGTGTAAATGCAGAAAGGCGCGAGCGGCAGCAGCTGGTTTGCACTCAGGAGGATGTTCCTCCTCCTCCATCGTGTTTCTGCTGTCCTGCGTTTGGATCCCCAGCAGCCCTCAGCGCGGCCCCGGTGGGTGATAGGGCGGTGAGCAGCAGCTGTGTGACCGCTCCGCTGCTACTCACAGATCCAGTTCATAAAGACGCGCTTTGGCGCCCGAGTGGTTGCATTTACTGTGCTGCTAATCTTGGGATCAGCTTGAGAGTCCTCAGGCTGAAGCAGCAGTTGTGATGAGAATAACACCGACCTCATTGCTGGTGGGTTTTGCGAGGCTCTAATTTAAAACGAAACCCTGTTTGGTTTCATTTTGTGCTCGTTGCATGCGGATTTGAAGTGAGTCGGGTCTTCACTGTGAAGCTGCATGGGAGCAGGGAAGTCTTCCCCTCCTCTGTGGGCATCGGGAAACCCCACTGTGGGCAAGGTGTTGTGTTTTCCTGTGTGTGGACGCCAAGAGGAATGGAAAGCAGTCTCTGCCTGTCTGGAACTGTCTCCCGGCCGTGATGGGATAAGACAGAAACACGCTTGTTCCCTGTTCTCTGATCCTCCTGGAGAGTTTGCTGAATCTCCCTTTCTTGCCTTGTCAGGCACTGAGCTTAGACCTGCCGGCTCTGGTTTAACTTTGTCAGCTTCCCGATAGTCAGCAGGGGAGGCTCCGCTTGTCAGATGGAGCGCCTGTTGGGTTGAACACCGGTCAGGCGATGGTCGTTGTGCAGTTTATCACCCTGAACCCTTGCTTGTGGTTTGTCTTCTTGACACTGCTGTCAGGGTTTCTGTCTGCTTTTTGGCTTTGGTGGAGAACTCTTTGTAAGATTCTGGTTTATCAGTGACATTGTAGACCCCGTGACGGAGCGTACGTGCACGGATCTGTGCGTGCCCACGCAGCTGTGGGCATACAGAGTGCATCACTCTGATTTCCCCTTTGTTACTGGAACGCAGGACTTGCCACACTGACGCAGACCCCTGGTCCTGCCCCCAGCCCCTGGTGCTCCAGAGGAAGGTGGAAACTAAAACTCAAAAGCAAACCCGGCCCCTCCCACTTCACCCAGTGACCATTCACGGCGTGTGCCTGTGGGCTGAGGGGTCCCTTTTTCCATGGTTCGTGGCCCTGACTGCCTGAGCAGTGGCTTCCTGGTCCTCAGTGTGGGTTACTCAACCCATCTGCAGCTGTCTCCAGAATGCCACGCACTCCCAGGGCTAGGGGTCCCCTCCACCTCTGTGCTTGTCCTCGGGCACTTTGGCTTGGTGTGGACAGACCCAGTGCTGTCTGGTGTTAGGCCAGAGGGGCGATGCATGAGTGTTTTCCTAAGATTTCTGTTTACCTGTCATCCTGGAAACTGGGGGTCCTATAGAATTGTACCCCAATAAATGTGTGTACTTGACTTCTCTTAGATTGTGCAAATTTTAAAATTTCTCTGTCTTCCTTTGTCCTTATTCTGGGATCGTTGGCCCTAAGAGTCAAATGCTGTTGGTGATGTTAGTTAGCACGTAGAGGTAGAAGTCTGGTACATGATGCTCCCTTGCAAGAGAACACCCAGCGTGAGGCGGTGGAGTATTGGGTTTCCTGCAGTCTGAACCACCAGCACACCAGCAACAGTGTTTGCCGATTGCACACTGGGCAGGGGCCTGGTAGCCCTCAGATCCTGCCTGGGCTCATGCTTGTCTTGTTAGGTACAGTGGCCACACAGGACACTGTGTGGACATCGCAGTTGGGAGCAATCCCTTTGTGGTCTGCTGTGATACCCAGGGAACCTCCCTTTGAAATTCTGGTTGATGTTGATTGCATTAAGAAGTGAGGGGGGCTATGGTGAGGAGCGCATGTTTTCACATAGATGTTCTCCTTGTAGGACTTTGGAGCCACGGGGATGTTCAGGTCTTGCGATCCCTTTCTGTGGGAACACATCCCAGTGGAGAGGTTTCTGAAAAATCACCCAGAAGGAACTGGCTTTGTGATAGAAGGATATCGGATGTCCTCAGTGACACGTGCTTACTTAACAGAGAGGGAAGTGAAGTCCCAAGACCTCGTGTGGGGTCTGGTGTTGTTTTGCTTTAGGTGGTTTCCTACAAGCCGTCCTCTCGGGAATGCCGAGGTGCCATGATGAATACTAGCTGATTAACGTAGTGCTGAGTGCCCACGCCTTCAGGCAGAGGTGCTCACTGGCCTCAGAACTTAGAACCTCTGGGATGGGAACGTTAGAGAGGTGAATGTTTGCAAACAGCCTCCATGCTCACCGGCTCCAGCCTGCACCCCTCCTTGTTTAGAAAAGTGGGGACCTGAAGGAAGGTGCACCCTTCCCGAGCTGCCCAGCCAAGTTTGGGTGTGAGTTTCTCTGTGTCGTTTGTCCCAAATGTCTCAAACCTGATCGGTCTCCTTAGCTTTTGGTGGGGGTCAGCCAGAATCATGACCAAAGGCAAGAGTTCGCACACTGTCATCTGTTTGGATGGAATTTTGAGTTTTGAATGAGTGTTCTTGGACAGCCATCAGCAAGTGCATTGTGGGGAGATTACCTATGCTGTCTTCCTTGTATTTTCTGGTTGCCATGCTGTCTTAATAATAGCAGCAAAACCCTAGTAAGTATAGCTACCATAGTACCCAGCAGGCTTGCTTCATAAAGCATGTTCCAAGTTCAGCTTTGGGATCCTAGAAACTTCATGTTCCTGCCAGTCTCTCTGTCTGGAGAGTGGAAGCAGAACTGGAATCTCTGAATGTGTTTCAGAAGTGACCTCAGCAGGTTGTGTGTCCATGAGTTTGCAGTGGGTTTTTCTTCATGTTGGAACATGTGTGGACATGAAAAATGGAATTTTACTCTTGCTTTGGGTTTGAGTCACATCAGCGGCCCATGTGGCCTCAATTCTAGTACCGTGCCTGGAGTTGATTCTATGTACATTTCCCACTGAATAATGTTCATTGAATAGTCGGTTTGTGTGTCATTGTTCCACTCCTCCACAGGCTACTGACTGGTTTCCCTTTCGCATTCCTGGAAGTTGGTTGAGCAGTTGAGGGGACTTTGTCTAGGGGACTCCCTGTAGGCTCTTAGTCACTCTCGGAGGTTTTGTATTTGCACTATGCCAGGTGTTACAGATGCCTTAAAGAAGGAGCTGCACTGACCGAAGCAGCTTAGTACAATATGTAGTTGTGTCTTCCCTCCGCGTACCTGGAGCCAAGGACCCAAACACTCTTCCTGGTGAGTACACTGCCCATGCGTAAGAAGTGTCTTGAAAGAGTTTGTGGAAAATGTGTGTTCTGAAAAAAAGCTAGGCATGGATTGCATTTTTTTTTGGAACCAGGATAAACTCTCTTCATTCCATTTTCCAGACTTCTTAAAGTACCCTGAGAATCGAGGGGGCTTGGGCAGAGCTGAGCTGATTGCTGGGTTTGGAGACTGGACTTGAGTTTCCCACCCACCTGTCAGGGGCACAGGGAAGCAGTGGGTGCTGCTTGTTTTGTGGGGAACCGGCCGGCAGGCACTCCTCTCGCTGGGTGCATGCTGTCTGAGTCTGGCCTCTCCCAGGGCAGCCCGGGGACCAGTGTCTCATCAGCACACCCTTGGCTCAGGGGAAGCGTGGCACAGGATCTGGGGGTGAAGCGACAACGTGTGGACTCTCAGCTTTATCCGTAAGGAGTGAAGGTCTGGGAATGACTGTCCTCGGAAAGGCTGTGGAATGTAAACACCTGTCATGCCATTCTGTGCACCTGAGCCGATTTTCCACTGGGAGACTTGTCAGTGTGGACAGCTGTGGCTGTGCCTCTGCACCAAGAGGGCCGAGTCCTGCCTGCCTTGAACGGCTGGAAGCTTCAGGCTCCTGGGCCGTGGCCTGAGCACTGTGGGCCTTGCCTCTCTTGAGAGCGCCCCCCCCTCCCCCCGCACTTAGTGATGGTGGTTGTGGCTGGGGTCAGTGTCCTCCCTTCTTCCAGAACTCGTCATGAAGAACCCAGCTCTGATGTTGGCATTGGTGAAGGGTTCCGGCCTCCTTGCCTCTCTGCTTCCCTGCAGGCAGGCATTTATCCTGAGAGCAGCTGCCTGGTGTCTAGTAGTTGCTTGATGAACCAGCACATGTAGGACTCAGGTCAGCAGCCCTCCTCCACGCTCCCAGGCAAAATTTCTCAAAGCACGTTTACAACTTGAATCTCTGGAATCTTGCATGAGATGTGTTGCAGATCATCTGTGGCTCTCAGAAGCTTATAGCCAGGGACGGGCTCCGTGTGCCGCCCTGATGTGTGTAGCTGTGACATCATGGGTAGTAATTGATTTGAAACCCTTTGGTGACACATTCCTGGAGAATAAGGGTACTACATTTAGACTAGGCATTTGCACCATGGTCAAGACTGCAACACCAGCAGCCCATTTGGTGGGAGTACCTGGGTTCAAGTCCCAGCTGGACTCCTGACTCCAGCATCCTGCTCATGTGTGCCTTGGGAGGCAGCAGGTGGTGGCTCGTGGACTTGGGTCCCTCCCACCAGTTCCAGATGCCTTTGGCATTTGGCAGGTGAAGCAAAGGATGGAAAATCTCTGTCTCTTTGCCATTCAAATAAAGTGAAAATAAATAAATTCAGAACCCTTTATATATATATATATGACAAATATATATATTTTGACAAATATATATATATATTTGA